GAAATTTTTATAATTTGCGAAACCGGTTATAAAAGTTTTTTATTTGTATTTATTTACTGGGTTCTTGTTTTATATATGTTTTTGTAATTTTTAAAATAATTTTAAATTTTCTCTCCAAAAATACTAATCTCCACGTGTATGCTCTATTTTCTTCCGCCAGGTTCACAGTTCCGGTTTGTTCGAATTACGCTTACGTTATTTCAACAACGATTACGGTCGCGACAGTGAGGGCAATTGCTGTAGCGGCATTTCCGATCCGCAAACGGGCAAATGTATCGGTACATGTAAGACACGGTTTCGCGTTTGTCTCAAACACTATCAAGCCAAAATCGATACGACATCACAGTGTACGTTCGGTGACGTTGTGACGCCGGTACTCGGAGAGAACTCGGTAAATCTAACGAATACGCAAAAATTCAAAAGCAAAGGCTTCACGAATCCCATACAGTTCGCCTTCAATTTTGCATGGCCGGTAAGTGAAAAACACTTGTTTTTCAACAAAAATTAACCTTTCTATTAAGTTTAAGCTTATTATACATTATGTCATATTAATTTACTAATAATTCAATTTAAAAAATTGAGTCGTCAAACAAGAAATAAAACAAAAGCTGTTGGCTAAAGCCAGCAAAGAGTTCAAAGCTATTGCCGCACGCACCGCCCAACAACGAAAAACACTAAAAAATTAAATAGAAAATTTTACTGTTATATTTTTACGCCTCTTTATTGTCTATTTTTGCCGAGTTTTTGCACAGCAAAGTGAGGACACACACACACATAAGCGACACACTGCTATAAATTAATGCCTCTCAACATTTTCGAGTTATTTTTAAACAAAATCCAAATGTATAGATACATTTACAACAACTATAGGCTGCGGCGCGCTCGGCTGTCGAAACGGGAAGTGATTTGCAAAAGCTAAAAAAGTGAGGAAAACGTATACGGTTGGTTTTGTTGCACTTACACGACTGTCGCGCATCATATGTTGCATGCAACATATACCTACATATAGCTGTGTGTGTAGACATGCGTTAAGCCACACTAAAGCAGCCATCGGAGCGCTTGCCAAGTGGCACATTTTCGCTTCGTGTTGGTATGATCTTTTGCCGTTGTTGTTGTTGGCCTTTTATGCCGACTGATTCATAWAATATGCAAGTGTGTGTTCGTATGTGTGTATTTATGGTTTATAAATAAACAGTTAGGGCTTATTTTTAATATTTTAGTGTGGATTTTGCTAAGCACTTTTGTTTTAGATCTTTGTTTTTTTCATTATTTCATTTTAATTTTAATTTGTTTTCATTTTTTTCAATTTTCTTGAACTATTCTGTTTCACATAAAATCTATCAAAGATTTTATATACATATTTTTATCGCTAACAATTACTACTCTTCGCTGTTGATCATTTGTACCGCGTCGAAGCACGTGTCCTTGTCGCAAAAAGTACGTTACAAAAACGACAACAAAAAGTCATAAATGAGGTATGCACATAGAAACAACTAAACAAAGGCAAGTATGTTTATAGCTGGGGTGCAAAAGCATATCTACATATCTGTCGCTAAGCGCCGCCAACTAAGCGCACGACTACACATACACACATGTATGTACGTTGGACAAGGGGTGGCTGACTGGCTGGCCGTTTGAGTGCGCGGCACCACCGAACCGCTCCGCGCCGCCACCACCACACACTTGGTGCGCCGCGCCGCCACTTCATGGCGCAAAGTAAACATTTCAGTTGCCGCGTTTTACGCCAAACAGCTGTCAGCTATTAAAATGCGCTAAAACCGCGTCGACTTGTGTATACCGAGCAGTGAAACGCCGCGCGTGCGCGCTTGTAAGTGTAGAGCAGCACCCCTTCTCGGTAGCGTTTGTGTGCACTAACTTGCGACGCACTCGCATTAACCCAACCACCACCACTACCAGCATGTTGCACACCCAACGGCCAAATCGTTGCGCTGCCATCACCTTAACCACCACCATCAGCAGCAGTAAAACAAAAATAAATAAACCCAATCGCGCTCACTGCGTTTGCTGTTGTTTATTCCCTTGACGATTGCGCTTGCGCGGTCGCCCTTGCTTCCTKGCTGCATTTAGAGTTAGCGGCGCCCCTTCTATRCGACTTGYTAATGTAAATACGCGGCTTTTTGTTATTTCTGCTGTGATCAGCACTTTACTTTTATGCTGTTCGAATTGGATTTTCGCCATTCAAAAGCATAACGCGTATATGTATAAATGTAGTTGCTTGCCTTCGTATTTCAATTTAGTCCCCTCTTCTACCGCCACCCAGCGCGCCTATTTAGTAGCTTCGATTTTGTTGTTTCTTTGCTGGCGCRTGTTATGGCATATCTTAGCCCCTAAAAATTGTCGTTTTCCATTGGAAACATGTTTATCTTTTAATAAGCGCAAATATTAATATGTTCGAATTCCATATAAATTTGATGGCAGCGCGAAAAAATATAATATATGTTTTTGTTTTCAATTTTATTTTTTATTATTATTTTAATTACTTTTAGTCCTTATTTTTTGCTCATATTTCCTACTGGGTCGCTTAGTATACGCGCTCATATCGTACACACTCATTCCATTCACCAAGAGCGCAGCGCCTACAAAGACATTTATAGCGCCTTAGCTTTAATTGAATGAAACAGTTACATATTATGCATTTTCCATTCTCCCGCTCACGCGCGTTGTCACCGCAATTAGTTTATTGCATCTTCGGCTAGCAGTCAAACAAATAATTATATTGTTCCACGAAGTACTCTGCGTTATATTGCGTGTTGCACACGTATGCTATGCGAGCGCACCCTCATTTTCGTTGTCACCTATAAAGCACAATGCAACGTTACTTGCAACAAAGGCAATAACAACAGCGCCCCTATTTCGCCTGTGCGGCATATTATTTTCGTAACACGTGTGAGTTTTGAGTACAAATATATGCTTACATACGTATGCTTCGCACTAAATCTTAATTTCCAAAAATAAATTTTCTCAACTTTAAAATATTTATTCTAATTAAAACGGCAGCGCTTCTTTGATTGATGTATGTATGTGTATATACCGCTCACTAGGTGTCTTCAATCTTCTAGCCTATAATTTTTAATATTTTTTTTTAATTTTTTTTATTATGGCTTACCTGCATATTCTGTGGCAAGCATTCTACAGGCGCGCTGCACTCTCTCTACGAGCCGCCGCGTTTGTATATACGCTCCTGTTACCCCCGTCTTTGCGACGCACTCAAGCTTCACAATAATTCAGCAATTTTTAACGTATTTTTCAACTCCACTTTGCGTTCGCGCAACGGCATTTTTAACACGCATACATGCAACATTTAATGTTGCCTCAACGGGCGAGTCACTGCAGCGCCATAATGTTTAACCTCTGATGTGGCAATGAAAGGTATTTCTTCCTACCACACTCACTCGCTGGCTTGTGGCGCGATGTATATAACAACAATAACAACAACAATATTTTATTCTCACTTCATGGCTCGCATATGGGCACATGTACTTGCAACAGCAGTTTAGCGCAGTGAACTTTGTCAACATTGCTAGCACACAGCCACACATGTATATATACCACTTGCAACTCCTTGCATAAGGGTGATTTACTTACATGCTTCCTTCTTCTACTACCCACTTCTCTATTCACTTACTTGCGCTTACTTTTTACGCATGCCTTCTTCCGTTTGCCACCACCACCACCAGCACCAGCCACATTTCCGATTTCACAGCGCCGCATAGTTGCTACACGCCATGTGTAATTACCGCAGCGCGCATGTGCAACGTCACTAGTCATCATCATTATCAGCTTGGCCGTCACTCTCTTTGCGCATATCCACTTTTCTCTGTACTAACTACGGCGCGGCGTGCGCTGTGCGATCAGCGTGGTGCCGCGGCCTGCGCGCTAGCTCGGCTGGTTGACTGGTGTCATTAACGTCGGCCATCAGCGCTTGTCAGCGTTCGGCGCGTCATTGTCGTCAACATTCCAAACGTCGTCTTTATCATTTTCACAACAACAACAATAACAACAAATGCAGTTTTAGCAATTTAGTAGCGGTTAAGGGATAAGCCTCGAAGTAGCCGTGCATTTGCCACATCGCCAACTCCGGTTGTGCGGTCGTYAAACCGCTACGGCTGCGGCAAATTAATGTGGCACGTGAAATTCCGCGGTCGTGCTGTTTTTGCTGCTTATCTGCGAGCGCTGGCTTTTTGCGTTATCTATAATTGAATTGAAGTTTCTTCGTYTGCCATTATCCGTTTCTTCTGCCACACGGCTTTTCTGCCGCTAATTGCCGTTTCTAGCTGGCTTGTGTTCCACATTGTTGCTGTCAGTGAAGATATATATATATATATATACTTACTATATATTATATACTATAATTCCTTTGCATCCTGTTTTGTTGCACTATCTTTTTGTGTTCCTCTTGTGAGTTTCTGGGTCATTGCGGCCCATGCTGAAGCGTGCCGCTTTGCGTCTGCACTAAACGAAATAAGCAACGAAAATAGTTTACATAACACTCGGCAATAATAAATCCGCTGTTGTGCGTCAATAGCTTAACTCCATGCCACAAATACGCACTTTCTCAGCTGAATTATAGCGAATTTAAAATAGCAAGAAATTCACTTTGCGCAACGAAAACACACAGACGCCTTAACCAACTGAATTGTCAGACGACTGACAGCTACAAAAGGTGAAGCCCCAGCATTGGATCGCCTGCGCGCGCCCCTTCGCAGTCAACGCCTGCCTKTGTGCCACTCATTTTGCATGATCAGCCGGGTAGCACGCCTACTTTTCACATACTGTCGTCAGCCGCCTAAAAATAGCTATTGTCAAAGACACAACAACAACAACGCGCACRTTGGGGAGTGTAAAGTTTGGGGTCCGCGCTGGCGAAGGGTGTTGCTGGCTGCTGAAATTGAACTTTAATCTCAGGCGCGCAACATGCCATCAAATGCATGTGTGCTTTGTGTGCACTTTATATTTACTAACTCATTGACTTGTGGCGGTTGTCTGTAAATTTCTATATATGCAGCGCTTCTGTCTGCCCCACGTTGTTGCACGCGACCTAGCGTTTCATTGTTGCATGTCGTCGCGCAACACGCGCGCTGGCAACGATGCAAACTTGTGTATTTTTAGCGCAAACTGTCTGCTGCTGCTGCTGTAGCTTCTTCATTTCATTAAAACGATCCGAAGCGGCGCAGCTACCCCTGAAGATAAATGCAAAGAGCAGAAAAAAGCAAACAATTTATGGGCGGCGCGACGGCGACAAATGAAACGCGCAGCAGTAGTAATGGAACTTACTGTGCGCTGTCATATATTCACTTTGTGGCTGTGTCAGACTTTTTGGTCGTTCAAACTGCTGATCGCTTACTTACCGCTCGCAGACTTTTGCGACAATGCGCGCCTGAACACGTTCAGTGGCAACATAATTCGCCACACCGGCATCGTTATTTCACCAATRCTTTGTATCACCTACAACAACATTCGCCAGCGGCGCACAGCAACACCTTTGGCGGATATTTTGAGGTGCGCGCGCTTTCTTTTCGCCACCTCATTGCCGCTTTTCTTGCAACATACTTGCCGCTTGCAATTTATTGCGCGCCAAGCGGCACTCTGTGTGTCGTCTGATTTGCTTCCTGCCGTGCCCATATTTCTTATGATTCGCCTACAGATTTTTGCACCCAAAATTTATTTTTGCCAAACGCTTTGTTAGCCAATAATATTTTTGCCATTGCCAAATTTATTATTTGTAMATTTGCAAATGCAATAAATGAGTATTGATTTTTGCCTTAAATTGCATTTGATTGTGCGCACACTGCGCGCCTTTGCAATAGSAAGCGGCTGCGCTCAACTCATCATGCACTTGCGCGCCGTTGTGTGTTTGCGACTTTTATGAGCTGCCGATTTTTGATTTGTGACTTGCAATCATTTCCTCTTCAGCGCGCCCAGCTGGTTACCGCGTGGCTTTGCTTGCCTAACACTGGCGGTGCATCCATTCACTAACGCTGCGCGCTAGCGCATTCAAATTGCTTACACATTGCGCGGCATTTCAATGCCTTTTGCGCTTGAATGCCCGCTGCCCTAACAATTTGTTGCTTTTGAATTCTTCAGTTCTGCTTGCCAACACTTTAGCGTTGTATTTTGCGCGTTCATTCTCCGAAATTCTCCGACAATAAAATACCGCGGCTGTAGTTTAGCGTAACGTTTCCGTCAGCCCACTTATAGTGGAAAGAGCGMTAAATGAAAATATAAGCCAGAAATTAACATAAAAAGTTACAAAAATTCATTTAACTAGTTTTCAATATTATCTATTATTATTTTCACTTTGTAAATTAATACGCGCTCATCAAGTTCCTGCGCATTTATGCAATCTTTAAAATATTCAAATTTCACATTTGTCATTTGTGCGTTATCATAGTAGGAAGCGCGCGCCACCCACAYACTCCTTTATTATGGTTTTCGAAAATTATATTTTCCGCTGCAGCGCAACCTGTTTTTGCTTTCAAAATCGAAAGCGCAACAATTTACTGCAATCGCCGTATGGCCAAGGCGTTGGCGCATCCTCCTCTGCATATTTCACGCTTACAGTTTCGACCAGCTTTATCTTCATTTACCTGTATTCAACAGCGAAAAGAAGCCATACAACAAACAACTAACTACAATTTTAGTCGCCGCATGTGTGCTGTGTTTTTATTTTTATTCAAATTATTATTTTTTCTTGTTTGTATGAATTGAGGGCGCTTTGGCAAGTGGCGTGCACGCATGCGCCTAGCAGCCAATACAGCTGAGCCTAGCTGAGTGTTACTACTCAGGGCGCGCGCGCTCGCGCTCACATTTGCATTTCAAATGCCAGCAACTGTTGCGCTTACCTCGCGCCTGCGCGCACCGTTAGTTATGAATTTTGCTACTTCATTGCATTATTCATAGCTGGTCGACAACAGAGGCAACAACGCGCTTGGCCACTGTGCATTGGCACAGCTTGCGCCTACCACGCTCGTTCAGCTACGCCAGCCAACTTAGCATATTTAGTTTTCCATTTATTTATTGTATAATATATGTTATGGCCACTTTAAGCGCGCTGCCTTGCGGCCAATGCGGCGTGGGCGTCTATTTTTCCATTAGCACTTGGCAGCGTCTTTTCACTTTTAATTCGTATACTTGCAACTTTGGTTTGCCGCTGCCACTTTACGTAAGTATATAGGTATCGATAGTCTCGTGTGCTTATCACAATTTATTAATTTGTCGCTAATTTAAATTTGCATTTTTTATTTATATTTTGTGCGTGCTTTTTCGAGTTTTTTACGACCGCGCTAATGGCGTGTGCTTTACGCTAATATTTCCGCTGCTTTGTGAGTTTTATGCGCCTTTAATTTATCTTCAACATTTTTGTTGATCGCCTTTATGAAGATCGGTATTTTTTTCTCCCCAACCAACTGAGTTTTAGTAGATTTCTCTTTTGCCGCTATCTGCTTGTCATATTTTGAGCGGAAATCGTCTTTTGTTGAAGTGCTCGTTCGTGCAAACAGCTAGGCGGCTCTATCACTTTATATCTTTACTTAGTTYATCATTAAAAGTGATCAACGTTTAATTCTTACATCCGTATTGTTTAACTCTAAGTAAATGTTTTCAAAAGCAAGTCTCCAAAGTTTTCTTTTTAAACTTGTAGTGATCTTCACTGATCGTGTTAAGCAATCGCGCTGCCTACTGATCACTGATCTTCATAGATTTCTTGCTGTCAATATTTTTTTCACCACGAATCAATATTTATAAAGAGATATCAAATTTTTTAACTCCAGTAATATGTTAAAGATCAGTGCTTCGCGATCACGGAAGATCAGCATTTTTTGTTTTATATTTCTGAAAGTAACGGTTATATCTAGCTTATTTGTACCTTCTTTAAGCATATTAAGCTATTTTACTTATTTTATAAAGCGTTCACACATTTTGAAAAATGTCAACATAGTACAATCGATATAAGTATTTTCAATGTGTTGTTTTCTTTGTTTTTAATAATATTTTCCACTTATTTCCTTACAGGGCACGTTCACACTGATCGTCGAGGCATTGCATGACACGAATAACAGCGCCAATATGCGCTCAAGCAGTAAGTTGATATAAAGAATATTATTTCATATTCATTTCTAGTGTCTTTTTAACTACCCACATGTTCTCAACCGATCAAGCCGTTCCTGGTAGCACAGTTTTATGTTCGTCTAATTCCCTTAACCTTCGTTTCTAATACGAAATGCATTTGCTACCCTTAAATATGCCAATCAATTWACTTCACTTCCTTATTACTCCAATTTCACACAAACCATATTTTTACTACTTCCTTCGACGCGCACGCGCAGCACTTGCGATCACTTGCGCAACCCCAAAGCTGCTGTCTGCCCTTAAACGCTTTGAAGACTTTTTCAATTCTTTGTACATATTGATATCCTGTTTATGCCATCCTTTTATTTGCGCGCATCCTGTCAAACGAAAAAGGCAAAAATTATTATTGCGATCACTCGCACGAGGATCGACGCATTTCGCCTGYTCGCTGACATTTTCATGGCTCTGCCGCYCGACGYGCCGCAGCGCACCGCCGCTGCKYCGTTGTCATTTGATATGCGTTCTGGCAGCGAGTTTATTTTTAATTTTTTGTTGTGGCYTTTTTGTGCTTCTAAAACCTAAGCGCCTGACACTTGCGCATCATCCTGCCACAAACTACCCCTTTGAYTGCCGTGCATTGCTGAACAGCCCCMWTTTKGGKTKKYYTKSGACTAACATTCTTACCAYATTCTGTGCCGTGTTGTTGCTGTTKCAGATTTCCGGCATATTGAGTGGTTTTAAATATCAGCCTTTGTCTCTGGTTKTTTGCACATCGCAGCGCAAATGTATATGTTGCCACTTAAAACAATGTTCGTTGCTGTAGCTTGGCTTATCCACCGCTTSCAGCTCCCGCACACTGTTTGTTGAGAACGCCAGCAGCGCGTATGGTTTGTGGTTGTTGTTTTTGCTCTTCACAAAAACCTTGAAATGCGTTGCACTTCATTTCATGCTTCTACAGTTTTTACTGCTTTCATTTGCGGCTGCCACAGAACGGAAGTGTRCGCGCCGCTCACTACCCGCGCTACCGCCTGTGCAACGCGCTTGTTGCCCTGCCATGTTTGTGTCTGTCGCAATTTAATGTCGCTTCGTTATTTCACGACTAATTCTCCATTTAGTTGGTATTAATTTAATTTTAGCCACAATTAATTTAACCAACATCCAATACACCATCTACGCTAGCGCGCCTGCACCTTTCGACAGTCAGCTAACAGCAACAACCCGCGCCCATACTGCCATCTGCCTGCCTTCTGTGTGGACAGTGAGTTGGACGGACGAGCGCGTCTGCAAATGCAGCAATTACTTTGACGTGTAGCAGCACTCGCCGTTGTTGCCACAGCGCCGCTATTGCTATTGCTGGCTGCCACTCGTTAAATGTTGCAAATATTTTAATCCAGTCGGCAGCAGCAATGTATGCGACCGCGTTTTGTGTTGTTACTGTGGCGCGCTTGTTCGCCTATTTACAGTGCGCCATTAAAAAGCGCCGCCGAATCACGACTTTTGTGCGCGCTGACTGGCTAACTGGTTGCATGATGTCTGCATGTCTGTCTGTCTGTCTGTCTGTCTTCCACACGGCCTGCTGTTGGTAGATTTCATTGTCTACTCTTTGGCAACACCACGCAACATTTCAATGTTGCACGCGCTGCTGTGCTGCTGCGGTGGCTCGTCGTTCCTGCTGCTTGGTAGTTGGCATGTGGAATCGCAGAAATAACTCGCGCGCTATCAAATTTTGTAAATTGTTTTTATTTTCCCTTTTTTATTTAGTGGATTTTATTTATTGTCTCGCTGGCAGTCGCCTAGTAACAAGCGCTTAACAGAGTCGCTGGGCTGCCTAGTTGGATGCTTGCTGTGCCTTGCGCCGTGCAACTCATCCGCGTTCTTTGCTATTTCACAAAATCGAAGTCAGCGCTCATGTTGGGCATCGTGTAATCCATCTCGTGTGTGTACACTAGTGTATATGTATGTGCGATCCCTTTTATAAGCACGAATGCTGCGCTTTACTTCGCTTTTAATTTAATGCCAGCCAGCCAGCAAACCAAAGTACCTGCTGTTGCATGCCGCATATTGCATTGCTCGCCCTTTTTATTAATTTTATTTCCCCCTTTTGTAKCATGCACGCCACCCAACGCCCGTCTGCCACCTCCTATCGCGCTGTCAACCGCACGCCAAGCGCGCATTTATCGCCTGCTAACTGCAACATCAAAGTTTTGCTTCTTTTTGCTCGCGCATTTCGGTTGTTGCATGCCAATAATGTCGCATCTGTTTGTCGCTTGCCTGCGTTTTTGCGTTTTTTTTGTTTGCTGGCTACAGACGCATCTTCGATTTCCGTTGCTGTTAACTTTTTGCTGGTTCACCGTCGCTTTGTTGCAATTTAAATTCCTTTTGATTATTCAAAGCGATAAAATTGTTTTGTCCTGCGACAAAAAAGCCAACATACACACGTGTGCGTGTGTATGAGTGGAGTACAAGCAGCGGCGTRGCATGTTGCACATCAATCGCGCACTTTGCCGGGTTTAACATGCGCTGCGCAGCGCTTTTTGTTTTATTTTTTGGCATATGTCAACATGCCGCGACCACACAGTGCTTGTGGCAAGTCGGTGCAAGCGCTTATGCTGCTTTTTTCTGCAAATTTTTTTATTTTTTCGAAACGCGCTGGCTTTTTTGTTTCAAAATGCACTCTTTTCTACATTTTTAACCATAAATTCCTTGCTTCTCAAGAGCCTATRCGAAATTTTACAATGCTTCGACCTACAAAACTCACAATATTGTAAAATTCATTTGATTTTAATGTTCTTTCGTTGATTCTCACTTGTGTGCTTCATTTTTTATTTTCCAGTTCCAATGTCACTTGTTAATCGTCGTTGGCTGCGCATATTACAGCGCAGCACTGACCTGCTGCATTTTTTGTACACATTTACCATTTCTAACAACGAACTTCTCACATTTCCATTAGCAATCGGTGCCAGTCAACAGCTGCTTTACCTGCCAGCGGCGGTTTTCTCTTAATTTTTTATTGTTCTCTRCCTTTTGTAATGCTTTAATGCCTATTGAATGCTTGCTTGCTTATATGTAAATATGTTGCCAGTGTGGCATACTCTTCGTAGCAATTTTCCCAGGCCTGCTCGAAGCGATTGATTTATGTTTCCTACTTCTGCCTAGAAAATACTCAAACCGCCAATAATACTTTCTTTTTCTTCAACCTTTTCTTCATTATTCGGCCACTTCATTGTCTAACCAAACATTTATCGAACATTTTCGTTTGCTACACGGCCTATGGCTGCTATTGGTGTTTCCTTAATTAAAAATTTCCTTGCACGCCATACACTCTTGTCTAAAAATAGGGCTTTGTGGAATTTTAATTATACTTTTTCATGCGCATCAAACACAAAAAGGTCGAAAAAATGCCTTACGTCGCTTCTTCCCAGCCTTGCTGCCTTTTGTTGCACACTTTTTTCCATAGAAAATCGAAATAACTCCTACATCATCCTAATGATTTAACATTGCCACACGATTTTTCATTTTCCATTTCAATGCAGTCGCCGCGCCGCCGTTAACCTGCAATCTCGGCTTAGCTGCCGGCCTACCTGCTTGCCTACATGCCAACGCCTCCTCTACGCTTTTGTGGTTTTTTTTTTGTTTTTTGTTTGTCGTTTGGCCGCTGTTGCATGCGCTGGCATTTCACTTTTTGTCTGTGCACTGCGTGCGTGTCCTGCTGTGCGCATCCTGTTGCGATTTCTACTTCTCCTTTCAAATAACTGGCTGCGCGCACTTGCAGTGCCACCTTCGCCGCCAAAAAAAACTTGCTTGCTTGTGTAAATCCCTGTGTGTGCGTTGCACGTTGCTTCGTTTGATGTTGCATGTCGTTTGTAGATTTTTATCGCGATTCGTAATATTATTGCATTTTTTGCAGCAACTCTCAGTCTTTCAACTCCTTTGAATTTAACGCGCTTTAATTTTATGCCATATGACTTGACGCTGCTGCAACTCTTGTCAAGGATTAATTTCATTAAATTTAAATTGTTGTTGTGTTGTGTTGCTGCGTGTATTTCGCTGTGCCTTTTTTGTTTAATATTGTTTCGCGTTACTTTTTTCCTGCCGTCCTTACTTTACGCCTGTCCAACGCTATCTGTCCAGCTGTCGCACACCGGCTAAGCGTCCAAGTGACCAGTTGTTGCTTGCAACAACTTTTAAATTCAGCATAAATTACGCAAAAAATGCCATGTTTTTTTGTGCGCGCCGCATGGCGTATTGCTTACAACACTCGTCGAGTGCATAAGGAGCTTCGGTGCGATACACACGCTGGCGCTTCAACTCTTACTCATGTAGATTATGGCATCAGCATTAAATTATTTTATATTCGTAAGATAACTATCGTCTCTCGACTAATGGAATTTGTTTTTATAATTTGACTGAAGATCTCAAATAATATCTTATGCCTGAAATCACCCAAGTTAGTTAAGCAATCGGGAATCTTATCATAAATTGTTTCATGTTTCGCTAGCTTTTCTGTTGAGCTTGGTTTGCTCACTTACCTTTTTATTTTCTATGATTTTCAATTAATATTAACTTCGAGTCTTTACCCTTACCTCGCAACTTTATTTGCGCTTAGTGTTTTGTAATATTCGCCACTTGTTTTGCATAGAGATCAGGCTTAAACTGCATTCTTCATACTTTTAATTTACGCTTTAATCTTTCTTTAACATTTTTCTTTGGAATTCTTTCGCTGCGCATTATCTTTTTGTATGTTGTGTTTACTGCTGCTTCTTAACATTTTAACCTCTTCTTGCTGGAAACGCTTCTACACCTACCAATTAATCTCTGCCAATGCCRCAGCAAAGTTGTTGGTGTTCTTAAGCGCTGCTGCAAGTGCTTGTTGCAAGTTGTTAAATGCTTATCTTTTAATTTTAACTTGATGCTCTGCATGGCTGACTCGCCGCCCGACAGCATATCGAAAATATTTTTTSATCTCTCTGTTTTTATTTTATTTTTTCGTTTTTGTTGCGCCTCTTGCTTCGCGCGTCGTTTGT